ACACACACACACACACACACACACACACACACACACACATACACACACGTCTGTCTATCTATGTGTATGTTTCTCTGTCAATTTGCCTATCTATTTACTCTCTCTCTCTCTCTCTTCTCTCTCCTCTCTCTCTCTCTCTCTCTCTCTCTCTCTCTCTCTCTCTCTCTCTCTCTCTTCTCTCTCTCTCTCTCTCTCTCTCTCTCCTCTCTCTCTCTCTCTCTCTCTCTCTCTCTCTCTCTCTCTCTCTCTCTCTCTCTCTCTCTCTCCTCTCTCTCTCTCTCTCTCTCTTCTCTCTCTCTCTCTCACACACACACACACACACACACACACACACACACACACACACACACACACCACACACACACACACACACACACACACACACACAACATACACACACACTATGTGTATGTTTCAATTTGCCTATCTATTTACACACACACACACACACACACACACACACACACACACACACACACACTCACACACACACACACACACACACACACACATACTTATAGGCATTTATATATCTATCTACACACATATATACACAATCATACCTGCCGTTTAAGCCGGCATTTAAGACGACCTGTGAAACCTAAACGCCTCTCTCCAAAACCAGGTGTCGCCTTGAATATAAATCGCAAACCTCCTTCCACGCTGAACAGCAACCACCCCGCCCCACTCCCCATAACTCTCGCACCCCCACCACAATTACTCCCTATCGAAACTTACCCCAATGAACCAACGCATAGGGCGGGTTTACTTGCGGTAGGGTTAGGGTAGGCTGGTTTACCTTGTGGGTTAGGGTTTTCTCTCGCGAGTGGAGTGTTTATGAGGGAGTTGTACTTTTTTATTTTCTTGCTATACAAAAGGGGCTGAGGATGTGGAGTTATTTTTGGGAGGCGAAGACTGCGTAAACCTGGGCTTTATATTAGTATTTTAGAGGACCTGGTCAGCTTGTATGTTGGTAAATTTATATATATATAGTATATACTATATATATATATATATATATATAATATATATATATATATATAATATATATATATATATATAATATATACATATATATAGATACAATAATAGATAGAGATAGATAGATAGATAGATAGATAGATATAGATATGATATAGATACATACATACATACGTACATATATATATATATATATATATATATTATATATATATATATATGTATATATGTATATATATATATATATACATATATGTATGTATGTATGTATGTATATGTGTGTGTGTGTGTGTGGAAAAACACTCTACCGTATTGATACTACGATAGAAAAACGCACAATGCACAAACTAGATTTATTGAAGTATGTCTCACTTCAATAAATCTAGTGTGCACCGTGGGTTTTTCTACCACCTACATATACATATATGTGTGTGTGATACATTCTTTCCATCTGTATTTCTCATCAAAGCCAAATCATCTGACGTCACCTAATAACTCTCTACCCGGCGGTTGTTCCTTACGAGGACCGGGCAAGGAATGGCTCGGCGAGATAGTCCGAAAGACGGCAGCTGTTCGAGAGAATATCCATTCATGAAAACTCATTCCTTGTGAATGTGGCGAGACATGGGGTTGGGCTTGGCATCGGGGTTGCTTGTTGGTCGTTATTGTGTTGTTGTTGTTGGTTGTGTTGTTGTGTTGTTGTTATTGTTGTTGTTGTTGCTGTTGCGTTGTGTTGTTGTTGCTGTTGTTGTGTTGTTGTGTTACTTTTGTTGTTGCTTTTGCTTTTGTTGCTTTTGTTGTTATTGTTGTTGTTGTTGTTGTTGCTGTTACTTTTGTTGTTGCAGTTGCTTTTGTTGTTATTGTTGTTATTGTTGTTGTACAGTTGCTTTTGTTGTTATTGTTGTTATTGCTGCTGCTTTTGTTGTTGAGCAAAAACAGTACATTTGTGTAGGAAAAGGCATTGGACAAAACTGATAGTATAACATCAATATATGATACATATAATGCATTGATTACATATATTTCCTTATGCCTCTTACAGTAACCTTCCCCGCACCCACCTCTCTATCTATCGATCTATCTGTCTATCTACTTTTTTTCTCTCTACCTAATTATCAGAAAGAGAGAGAGGGGGAGATATGTAGATAGATAGAGAGAGAGACAGATAGATAGAGAGAGGGAGGGGGAAGGAGAGAGAGGAGAGAGAGGAGAGAGAGAGAGAGAGAGAGAGAGAGAGAGAGAGAGAGAGAGAGAGAGAGAGAGAGAGAGAGAGAGAGAGAGAGAGAGAGAGAGAGAGAGAGAGAGAGAGAGAGAGAGAGAGAGAGAGAGAGAGAGAGAGAGAGAGAGAGAGAGAGAGAGAGAGAGAGAGAGAGAGAGAGAGAGAGAGAGAGAGAGAGAGAGAGAGGGAGGAGAAAGAGAGAGAGAGGTAAATAGATAGGCAAATTGACAGAGAAGCATACTCATAGATAGACAGATGTGTGTGTGTGTGTGTGTGTGTGTGTGTGTGTGTGTGTGTGTGTGTTGTGTGTGTTGTGTGTGTGTGTGTGTGTGTGTGTGTGTGTGTGTGTGTTGTGTGTGTGTGTGTGTGTGTGTGTGTGTGTGTGTGTGTGTGTGTGTGTGTGTGTGTGTGTGTGTGTGTGTGTTTGTGCGAGTGTGTGTATCCGCACACACGCATACGTGTCTGTAAAGTCTAAACATGAGATCTATAACAGAACAAAATATTGAGTGCCACAAATATCTTTAGTGTCACCAGTCTATTGCCGTCTGGTTCAATTGATCGATACGGTGGGATAAACACATCAAACCATATTTTACAACTGTACTAATCAATACAGCTACACGTTTTATAGTATTTTGCTCAAGGTGCGTGGGCTGTTTTAAAAAAACTTGAGAGTGAGAGATCCCTGTTTAAATGCAATGGGTGACCCACCATATATAGACATTTTTCTCACGCTCTTACTACCTGACCGTAAATATATGCGAGATAAAACGGCTACATTAATCTTTGATACAGATCGCATCATAATGAAAAGAATGTGAGGTTGGCGAGCTACTCAGTGCACTTCATAATGAATAATGAATAATTCATTGGCTGGGTCGTTCACGTTCGAGTGTGTCTAAAATATAATTTGGAAATGGACTTGTTGATTCTGTCTCATCGGATATTATACCGTAAGACATTCTTGGGATGGTTTAGTACCAGTGTTTGATAATTGATTTTGAAATATAATATGTGTTACTCTAGCGATTGAGGGAGGTTCCACACCCACTATTTCTTGACAATTGTTCAACATTATTCTCTTGACTTCACACGCTTATCACGAATATAATAGTATAAAAGGCTACATCTTAAATAAGCCCATGAACTGACTGACTAAATTACATAACGTAGATTGTAATATAATGTATGATTCTCTTGATTATTCGTATGATCGCGAAAACGAAAAGAACGGAAGTCGTAAATATACATGTTCGAACGCAGACACTTCAAGAGATGTTAGATACTGCAAACTTTATTATATATACTTATTAATACTCAGTCCGTGTAATCTCCTTAGCGGGAGAGAGTTACTATGAAATACTATTCATACAATATGGAGAGGCACAAGGATTCAGAATTCTTTTTGGATCGTCGAAATATGATCCAAAATGCAAACAAATAAAATGTTGCCAAACTCGAACGCAACTTTGTTATTGCTTCAGTAAAAAGGAAAATCCGAGAGTGAGTGAGTGGCCAAGGCTGTCTCATTTTACGTCCCTTTGGTGGTTTTAAGAGTGCCGCCCAGGGTGTAAGTGGGGAAGAGAGTGAAGGGAGAGAGAGAGAGGGAGATAAGGAAGAGCACAGAGAGAAGGGAGATAAAGAAGAAAAGGAGAGAATCGGCGACACTCAACTGCTCCTCTTCCCTCGGCCGAGTTGAGTGGAATTGGCCTTTAAATTGGGAAATTGGCTGAGAATTGGCTTAAATTGGCGTATCCGGTCGGCTAGTGGGGTGTTGATACCGAGTCGGACAGACACTGAGTATCGTAGGGAAAGAAATATGAAGTGAGCGAAGCCCTTTCCATAATCTTTAGACCCGAGACACGAGAGAACTTACAAGTTCGAGAGAGAAATTTTATCCCAGTGCTTCTTCATTCATTCTCATTCGCGTTGACATTTCGGTCTGGTAATCGCTTCCCTTCCTTAAACTTCCCTGACACACGCTGGGAAGGATTTTAATCTTTTTGTGTCTTGTCATGGGCGAGGGCAAGGAAATTGTGCCAGTTGTCAGTGGGTGGAACAATTTTTGTGCTTTAATGGTGAGAAGTTTAGTTCCTGTGTTTATGTGACACACGAAGGATATGTGTAATGTGTGTAATGGTTATTTGTTTGTTTCTCCAAGTTGTGATATACATTGTGTCCAGTATGACAAATGTTACTATGTGATATTAGAAATGGTTATGTGGATTTAAGGATATGCTTTCTAGTGCAATGGAATAGATAAGTACTAATCATCAGATGAAAGTTTACTTTTTGGTATCCAATATTTTGAAAAGTATCATCACCAAAGATTGTATTATTATGGTTATTAAATGCAATCAGCCTATATGAAGATAAATCAAGAGTTACAGAAGTAATTATAATTCATACAGGTAGATAACTAGAAAATAGTATATCTGTATTCTTCAGCATCTTTATGCTAAAACTACCTCTAATAGCTCTACCTTATTACCTCTTTCAGTGTAACTAGTGTTGAGGTGATAAACATGTTAATCTTTTGTTGATTATTTTTATTCAATCAAATCCTGAATAAGATATTTTTATCATTCTTTCATACCAAATTATATTTTCAAATATTGTCATTCTTAGAGATTTCTAAAAGGTTATTAAACTGCTGGAAGGATAGATTGACCTGTAATTTTCTTAAATGATATTTTATTTTTATATGTATTTTGTGAATGGATCTTCCTCAAATGCTAAGACCAAAAACACAAAATTTCAAGTACAGTGAAAAACTTCGTGCAAAGGGATTATGTGACTTGAAGTGAATTGATTACAGATTAAAGATAAGAATGCTGAAAGTACATACTGATATTGAAATAGGCCAGACAAAGAAAGAGATAAAGTGTCCATTCTGTGTAGCTATAAGAGGAGACATATATTAATATTGTTCTTAATAAATGGAGCCAGAGGAAGTAGATTATACAGCCAGTCTTTTAGACTATATATTTTAAATTCTTTACTGATCTACTGTATAATCAGGCTATAGCTGACAGTTGAAATGCATGCAGTTGAAATGCATACCACTGTCCTCTGCAGGTGATGTGACGTCTGAATAAGTATGGGAGAGAAGGTGGGTAACGCGGAGGTGTTGGTGGGGGGTACATGGCACCAGGCTCGCCTCACACTCGAGGGCGACCTGCTCTTTGTCACACTCACGGACCTCGACGACCTCAACCTGCAAGGTTCAGATGGGGAAGGAGGCCCCAGTGACGTCCCTGAGCCAATAGCCAGCCAGAAGCGGGTCGTTCAAATATGCAAGTCAGACAACAATGGCCTCGGAATATCTATTAAGGGTGGACGTGAGAACAAGATGCCCATCCTCATTTCCAAAATCTTTAAGGTAGGTCCCAGTTAGCTGTTCATTTTTTAGAGGCATGTAATTTTCCTAACTATATATTTTGTTTATTCATGAATAATAATTTAGAAATATTGTTAAGGCTATTTATAGGAGTGGCAAAAAAAATTGATATCTTCTTGATTACTGTATTAAGATCACTGAAAGTGTTGAACTCAATCCTTTGCTTAAATAACTGTAGGGTATGTGTTGTATATACTTTGAAATTTCTGGATTGGAGTGCTGCCAATATACCTCAGCCATTAGAACTGCAATTAATTCATATGATGCACTAGGATATGTATTTTTCATTGTAATATATCAAATACATATTGCAGAGTGTCAAAGTTGAAAAAAAAGTTGGTACAATTACCCTAATATAAAAAGATAAATGATACACTTATCCTTTAGAACAACAAAACGTATTTATGTGAATATAAGTAAAGATATTATCAAGAAACCAGAAGGTGGCTATTATATGTACGTAACATTTTATCTTGCTGAGTGAAAATGGAGTATGGGAAATTACAGGAGGTTTGGATGAATGGAATATGCCATACAGTCCCTGGTTCCTCTAATCAGACACAGTCCTGGTCCCAGAGTCAACTCCTGCCAGCACACCTCCTGTATTGGTTAGCTACTTTACAAATATATCCTACCAGGCTTTTTGTGTTATTAAAATTGCATAGTGATATATAACAGACTTCTAAAAAGACCATAGATTATGTATCATCCCTTTCCTTGAAAAAATAGTAGGATTTGGCCAGATCTGGCTTTCCTTTTCCTCCATTAATTGTACCTTGGTCCAGCCACAATGGCAGTGGTGTCTGGCTTGTGTCTGGGGTTAGGATTATGGGGAGGGTATGGTGGGTGTGGCTGGAGAAAAAAATGGCTTGATAGTACTAGTTGACACTAAATACCTCTCATTCATAGCAAAGATTATTAGAAAGAAAGATATCCAGCTCATTTTTGATGGCTTGTACAAGAGGGATCCATGATCCTGGTGAATGGGACTGATTCTTTGTAATGCAGTGGTAATATACTCTGTTGACACTCTTGTTCAGTGAATTTCAAATTGTGAATTTTCTTGCATGCAGAATTGATTTAGCTCAGTTTGACTAAACTGACAAGAGCATTGGCCCCAAACCTCAGATTATTACTTATTAATTATTATTACATAGAAGATGCAGCCAATAGTTTAAAATGTTTTTGAAGTATGATGGTAATATTACATGAGGTTCAATTCACCTGGAGGGAAGATTTTTGATGGCATCACATCATCCAGAGATTACCATAATTCTGGTTATTTGCACAATATGCAACCAATATCATTTGCCATGATTATGCAACCCCCATCAAATATTAGCTGGGTTTTTCCTACTGCCTCCTCATTAGGAATAAGACATGTAGTGTCCACTAATATATCTGGTACTGTTTGGCAAGTTTCCTTCAGCCACACCCATGATGTCACCCCATAGTTTACTCCCCCTGAGCCAATGGTGCAGTCTTGTTTTCCTGCCTCTTATGAAGGAAACGTAGTAAGGGGGAAGAACTAGTGCTCGGTGACATATATGTATCATACTTCCAAATCATACATCTTGTCTCCATCCCAGATTCCACTTCCACACATCGTATTATTGCATATCATAGAGTATATCCTTGCATATTATTGTCTTCTTGCTACTTATATATGTAGGCACTTATAAATGCATCAAAATACATTTTGTCGTTGTATATGACTGGATGAAATTGATCATATAGAAATTTGTTTAGAAAGAAGAAGGAGGGCAGAGAGAGGGAGAGGAGATGAGGGGTGAGAGAGGAAGAAAAGAGGATAGAAGAGAAAAGGAAAGGAAAGGAAAGAAGAGGGAGAGGAGAGGAGAGAGGAAAGAAAAGGATAGGAAAAAAAGAGGAAGAGGAGAGAAAGAGGAAGAGGAGAAGAGAAGGGAGGGAGGGAGGCAGGCATGAAGTGGAGAGGAGAGAAGAGGGAGGAGAGGAGTGGAGAGAAGTGAGGAGTGGAAAGGAAGAGGAAGAGAAGAGTAGTAGAAAGAGGAAGGGACAATGATGATGATGATGGCAGAAGTAGCAAAACTTATTAGAATTTTTATCTGAAAAATATGGCCTATTGTTATATCCATTTAAGTCTCTTGTGGCTGGCTGTTTTGTAAGTCTTGCAACCCCTCTGTTAATGATGCAACAGTGTCACAGTCCTGATTAGGTAATGTTGAAGTTGGAAATTGCAGATTACGCATATTTTATAAAGAGATCAATGTTTTATTCTAACTCTCCTGAGACTGCATAAGGAAGATTGTGCAAGTAGCATAAGTAAATCAACACAGTTATACACATTAGTGCTTCAGGATTCTGGACTTTGTACTGGATAAGACCAGTTATGTATGAAGAAGCAGAATATTATCATACCTGTACATGTTGGATTGATGTACTAGGTTTTATATTACTGTTGCATGCAATACATTAAGTTACAGATTCTATAGAGGGGAGCTAAGGTTTTAAACTTCATTTTGAGTTTCTTACTACTTTTATGGTGGGAAGATTGTGTCTTGCGTAATTTTTCTGCTTAACATTTCTATAGCCGTATGGACCACTGTACATCTGTTTTTTTTTTTTTTTTTTTTTTTTTTTTTCTTTCTTTCTCTCTTTCTTTTCTTTCTTTAGTAATGTGTGAAACAGTACTATAAAGGCCTATTATTTAATTAATAAGGAATTAAATTTAACTCAAGCAACTTACCATTTCTTATCATATTTAGGCACTGTTAATGAGTGGAGGATAGCTAGACTGTAGTTTATTAGTTTTGACTTTTTTTCCTGAATATCAAGAAGTATTTTGACTGTTACTTCCATTGATAGCAAATTCTTACTAGTCTCTTTTTAATTTTTTATATAATGTCCAGTATAGGGAATTAAGTCAGTTAAAGAGATATTAGTTAAGGCTCTCTCCATTTACATTAATTAACCGGTTGGGTTGGGGTGCCTGGCTCCAGTACATGGACCAAAATCTAGAGATTAGGCTTACTTGAATGGTGACTCTCCTGGGAGTGTGGCTTTTAGGCCTGGCTGTCACAAATATTCATATGTGGTATTAAGACTCCTTGCCACCCCTTTGCGATTTTATCATCTCCTTTTCTGCATAAGTCTTTTATGTTGTTGTTTATTTCTAAGGTCTATATTTGCTATTTGAGATAGTATAGATGGTAATAAACTGTTTACCTTGCACAGACTCCATATTATATCTAGGTAGTATTTAACTCTGTAATAACAAAAAAAAAGTTTTTAATCTTTTTGTATTCAGTTTTATGTGACATAGCCTGAACTGCTGGTCATGGAATAGGCTCTTAAGCCAGCACTCTTACAGCCATAGCTCATGGAAATAATGCAAGAGCCTCTTCCTAAATGCCTCCTCCAAGAGCTTTGTGCACTTTTGGCAGATCATTCCCATCACCCAGGCCTTTAGCAGAATTTTTCTTGCCACCCCTGCCCTTAGCCAAATTTTTCCATGATGGCATATTTCCATTGCCTGGCCATCAGCCAATTTTTTTTATGATGTGATTGTCATGTCACCTGGATCTAATGGGTGAAAAGGAAAAGCAGGAGGGAAGAAACCAAAGTTCCTATATCAGATTTTTATCAGTTTCTTGAAAGTAAAGGTGATAGGCTAGGAAGGATAAAGAGTAAAATTTTACCTTAGGAAACAATTTGGGTATTGCAGCCATAAGGACACTATATAAAAGATAATTGAAAGTGTATATTGATAATTGTATTTGATAGTAATTGATGAGTAAATAGATATATAAAAGAAAATTATACAAGTAATACATGTAATTATAATATATGATAATGAATGAGTAAAGAGATTAAAAAAAAAAAAAAAAAAAAAGATTATAAACCAGTGATACTTAGCCAATACATTAATAGTAATACTAAAGATAGATAATCATCTTTCCTTTTTACCCTAGGGAATGGCTGCAGACTTGACCGAGAACCTTTACGTGGGTGATGCCATCCTATCCGTCAATGGTGAAGACCTCAAAGAAGCCACACACGATGAGGCCGTCCGTGCCCTCAAACGAGCAGGCAAAGTTGTTACATTAGAAGGTAATGATTTTAGTTTTAGTTTTTTTTTTTTTTCTTTTCCATTTTTATTTCTTTAGTTTTTTTGTGGTTATTACTTGTGTTACGAGGTAGTGGCTGAAGGTTTCAAATTGTTATTATCAAGGGTAAGGACTTTAGATTTCACTATATATGATTGTTTTGGATATTATTGTCAATGTGTTTTCTTTATCATTTTGTTGTTAGAGTATTATGGATGTATTTTAGGAATGAAGTAATTTCTGAAGGCCTGTGGATAACTTTTGGTTTAAGATGTTTTACGAAGGCATATTTATGAATTAGATCTAAGAGGTACATAAAGGTTTTCTTTCAGAGATGGATATAAAATCATTTAAACATTAGTAAAACAAATTCCGTTAGTTTCTAAGCTAGATATTTTTAATGTTTTTTCACTTGCTTATTTTTATTTTCTTAAGTAAAGTATCAGGTATGTGATATCCTTTTTTTCTGGATGCTCTTGAAAGAAGAATATTCAAAGGACATGATTTTGATATATAATATTAGGCTTCTTTTTTTTTTTTTTTAGCATGTATTTCTTGGATATCTGAACCAAAGCATGCACTGATGTCAAGGAAATGCGAGGAAAAAAATAGTTAGCATGTATAGCTCAGCATGACAAAGGCACTGCGGCTCGTGGAATTTAGGAATGGCATGGTAGTTCTTGTATGTGTAGATATTTAGTAGTCCAGTCCAGCATGATGGGTCATGGATGGCGCTTGTTAGTGTGAAATTTGCACCGTCATAGAAATAGATGGGGGGGTGGGAGAATGAAAAAAAAAAAAATCAGTCTCTGTCTTTGTTTGTGTGTATATGTCTCTCTCTCTCTCTCTCTCTCTCTCTCTCTCTCTCTCTCTCTCTCTCTCTCTCTCTCTCTCCTCTCTCTCTCTCTCTCTTCTCTCTTCTCTCTCTTCTCTCTCTCCTCTCCCTCTCCCTCTCCCTCTCCCTCTCCCTCTTCCTCTT